ATTGTGGGGTTAATCGTAAATAAATATTTATTTTAAAATGCCGCAGTATATACTCCATGGAACTGAATTACATTCCCAAAGTAAATGGGAAATTTGACAATAATTTTTAAACTTTCATTCAAAGTGAATAACAGTCTCGGTTTACTAAGATTTAAACACAACGTCTTTCTTCCGATGGTCGCGGGGTCGATATCTCGCGTGATGCAATTAGACATAGAAATAATCTTTATTCAAATAAACTTAATATAAGCACTTTTGAAATATCAAATTTTTTTATTCTACCGCTCATTCGGAATGCAGATACACAACAAGAAGAATGATCGAGAAACTCGTGTGTTGCTCTTTTAAATAAATATTGTTTTAATTATATTATATACATTAACAGAGGCATTATTAGGCATGCGACAATCAACATTTGTATTCATGAGTATGATTGTTTCCATTGGATGTTTTTTATGTATATTCTGTATGGATTTACAAAAAAATATAAAATATTTTTCTGTAAATATTTTTAACTGTTCTCTAGTACCCATAACATAAGTTCTGCTTAACTTGGGACTAAGTGGCGTTGTGTGAATAGTCCCGATATGATATTATTATTTATAGAAAAAAATACTAAATATTTCTATCAGTTGTCTAGTACCCATAACACAAGTTCTGCTTGGCTTGAAACTAGATGGCGTTGTGTGAATAGTTCAGTTATAATTAATATTAACTCTGTAGTCACGTTATTAATTTGGTATCAAAAGTTTGTTTGGTGAAAGCAATTCAATTCCATGAGCATTCTGCCTGGGTTTCGGCTTGGTATATCTTTACAAATAATATATAACAAGGCATTTTATACTTAATAGCATTTCAACAATAAGTATCACAATCGCACGCGTCTACATTCAATAGGCCTAGCATTAGCATCCATAGGCCTTCCTAATAGATCATAAACAACAACAAAAACATTTTTAGTGATACTTGAAATAACTAGATTAAACTGATATAAGACTTAATTACCCAGATATTAGGTGCATTTTTCTATGCACACGCAGATCTACACTTGTAGAATACGGTATTATGTTTACGCTCATTTTTTTTTTATTTAAAATTTGTCGGTGGACTAAGGACGGTGGTGTATTTATTAATTTTATACTATAAGGGACAAAACATTTTTAAAATATTGGTTTTGGCGACCTCAAGCTTCAAGAATTATTATAATAAATTTATATTTAATACAATAAATACTCAAATTCTTTTATATAATCTAAAAACGAAATATAATACTTAAACGACTAAATTAATAAATTAGTTAACTATTTTTATGATATGACGTTAAGTTTTATATTACTAAAATGTTATTCAAGTAACTACAAAAGAATTTCGACTTGTATACTACGTAATATGTAATTATTTAGTATGAGACATTAGACTTTATGTATGAGATATATATTTAGAGATTTTCATACAACCGTGATTAATTCTGTAAGAAAACGTTTTTTTTTTTTACATTTCCATCATAGTCATATAAAAAAAATATTTGAGAAATTTATATTAGATATTATTAGTAGATTTAAACGGGTTTTAACACGATAATTTTCTGGTATTTTTTTTATTGGGCTATTGTGACCTGTACTATTGAGACCTATATAGATCAATTTATTAGCATTGGTCTGGGTGTTTTCTGTATACACTATTATAAGCCCTTTTAGTTTTTTTTACAGTTTTCGAAACCGTGGCTCGTCAGGGACAACAATTGAAGGGTATTCTTTAGAGCGACAGTTCTTATCTGCTCAGGGTATAGTGTACTTTCCAAAGGAGATATTTCGCTTATTCATAAGTGGGCTACAACCACATAGGATGTGTAGAGGCGTTTCCTTTTCTGTTTGGCAGAAAGTAAAGGTATTTTCTGGTAAGGAAGGGTATTTACTTCACTCAGCTTTCGACTACATTTCACTAGCCGTGGTCACGAACTGAATGGAGTAGTAGTTGAGGAGAGAGCTCGAGAGAGGCAAATATCTTTATTTACCATAAAATTATTCGTATTAAAATCCGTTTAACTATATTACATACATTATACACTTGTCGTCTGTCAGTTTGTCATAGTATATACACTAATTTGTTATGTCATCAGTCTTACTCGGTATAATTTCAACACTACTTATAGCCATATTAAACTACTAATTTCCATTTATGTAAAGACAGACGTAGGTTTATTTGTATATATTTATTACTTGCGACCCACATTGGCCTCGAGTACATTAAACTACTTAAGAATAGATTGAAACTGACAAAAAAATTATTTAAAAAATGTATCAATTGAGTTTCTTGCCAGTTCTTCTCAATTAAAGTAGCCGGTCGAACTAGAGTGTAGGGATAGTAAGAATGATAAAAAAATGACGTGTGCAAGAGACCTAATGGTCTTTACTTTAATTTATAATAATAAAATAAATACTAAACTATTTCAAACTTGGGTTTCTGTGCTTTTAAAGCGTATGCGACGCGTAGGTCGAATAACTATATATACATTCCAGTAAAAATTCTTAAAATTATAAAGAAAATAGTTTTAATTACTATTGCGGGGTTTAGGAGCAAGTGGAATAGCAGACGGACGAAAAAACTACTTTCTTTTATATTATTTTTATATATAGGTCATTTTAGGTTTATATATATAGGTCCTTCATCGTACTAAGAAGTCGGAAACTAATATGAATATTGGATTGTTAACATCCTACACAAGGTCTAAAGAAAATAAACGATGAAACAGACCATTCCAACGTTTTTTGATAGTTTTTTTAGTGCTTTTCAATTTTTTCATGAAATATCTATCCGTAACTACAACGGTCCAATTAAAATTAATTCTGAAACTATTTCTTCTCTATTCTCTTCTCTCTAGTTCTATTTGATAGTTTTTGTATTGTTTTAAAATTGTTTTTCATAAAATACTCACCAGTACTGATATTTCGTTTAAATTAGCTAATATTTTTATTTTATTATTCTCTACTTGTTCTAGTATATTTTATTGTATGTATTTAAGGAAAAAATGTATTCACGGATCCTATCGTTTTGTTTAATACTCATAGTACAAACTTTGCTTTGTTTGAGATTAGATAGCTCTGGATGAAGATCTTCTTTTAGAAAAAATAAAAATGATATATCATAAGTGTCTATATGTTGAATCCATTTTGATATTATGTAGTCAAAAATCGGTTTAGTATAACCTATATAAGTACTCAATTCAACATCCTTTACAGTAACCACGAGAACGACCAGTTCATCATAACATAAAAACTTAAAATTGGTTAACAAACTAATTAATAGATCTAAAATTATTTAATAACAAATTAGCGGCTCCAACGTTTGGATTGGTCGAATACACTTCTATGAAAAAAATTAACTCCAAATATTGGAGAATTGACTTCAAACACTTTATCTGTAATATTAGACTGAAGAACTCCTCCAACGAGATTCGAATCCGTATCCCTCAAGTGTGTACAAGTACGGACTATGAATATACAATTACGACTCAGAAAGACTTCTGTCATATGATTATCTGACTCTGAAGCCATCTACAGTATTATTATAACATTACATATTACAGTAATTTCAACATTACACTACAGTTGTAACAAACATTACATGTTACAATATTTGTAACATTACATTATTGAATCACATTGTGAGCGGGACATTTGTTCCCGTTTTTATTTTTGGCTTCACCGGACGTTAGGGGCCGAGTGCAGATGGCACTCCAAACCCGCGGAAGGACTTATGGAGCGGCTGAAGGCCAACTCCCGTCTGACGGATACGATAAAGTCGTCGTAAGAAGTCTGAGGGCACCACTAGGGGTTCGAACCTCGGCTCAGGCCGTCGCAATTTCGATCCCCGTTTGAATTGGACGGGGGATCGATCGGAGGGGTTGTCCTCGTTCCGAGGATTGCCACTTATAAGCGGGGCATGTTTCTAGTGCTCGTTCCAAAATAAGCCGTTGAAAAGTGGGGAAGGTATAAGTACCCGTTTAAAATAAGTAATTTAAGTGACACAAGGGAAAACATATCATCATCTGCTTCTTCCTTATCCCATTTATTTGTTGTAATGTTGTAATGTTTTCTCTTCCATTATTTTTTTTTTTTCGGACTACTCTAATGCTGTTGGCCGTAGCTGGCCTTTACAGCTTCACCGGACGTTATGGGGCGAGTGCAGATGGCACTCCAAACCCGCGGAAGGACTTATGGAGCGGCTGAAGGCCAACTCCTGCCCGACGGATACGACTTTAGTCTGAGGGCACCACTAGGGGGTTCGAACCTCGGCTCAGGCCGTCCCCCGAATCCCCGATCCCCGTTTGAATTGGACGGGGGATCGATCGGAGGGGACCTCTTCCATTCATCTAAAAAAATATATATATACATATATACTTATTAATACGGGTACAAATACCTGCCCTGCTCACAATGTGTTAATATAAATTCTGCGTTCCTACAGTATTGGTATACTAGTATAAAATTTCTGTTAATATTACATGCTATGTATATTAAGTTAAATTTTCATAGACTCTTATATATGTTTGACTAAATTTGTAAGACAAGTTTTACAAATTTAGTCAAAGATATAAAAGATGCAACCGCTATTATAATTAAAAACATTGGCGACGAATGCTGGAGTGATACGGATTTGATTACTGGGATGAAATCTTTCAATCTGATATTAAGATTCCCAAGTCTAGGACAAGTATTTCAAATGTTTCCCTAAAAACACATCTTTTAAGAGGCATAGTAGGAAGTGTCCGGGAAACTGCATACTCGACTGGCAAAGCACCTTCGTCCAGAAGATCCTAACTAAAGAACACTACTTTGTAGCGTTACAAGCTCTAAGGAAGGTTCATATATTCACGTTCAAACGCGCATGTGGTAACCCTAGGTTTAACGCGATTACGGCAATCGCTTACCATCAGGCGAGCCGTGTCTCCGCGGCATAGTCTTAAATCCAAGCAGGCATCACCCTGCGTGCAGAAATGCTCAGTTATGCGCCGCCCTCTTCCCTTGCATGTACCCTTCCCATCTTTTCGCTGTATTGATCAATATAGGGTCATCATCCAGACCAGCTAGGAGATATAATTGGTTCACGTGAGTAGCGTGGTAGTCCCATCTGGCAATGTTGGGGCTGATTCCCAACGTGAAGTGGCGGAGGTCGTAGAAACTGCCGCTGCCGGTGTCGAAGAGAGGCAAGAGGGTCTTTAGTGAGGTCATGCCGTCGTCGAACATTTTTTTCGCTAGCGATATAGAGTTCTCACCCTCGAGTATGTGCAGATCGTAGAGGCCGAGCAGCGTGTATATGAAGCCGTTCAGGACGAACAGTGGGGGTGTTGTTGGGTATTCTTCATACCTGGTAAAATTATAAGTTAATTGTAATTAATAATGCAACGGGTAGATTATAGTGATCCGATATATCACAACAATTATAATCATATTGATATTAACCCTATAAAAACTGTAAAGTTAAACTGATTGAACCAAAATTTGTTCTGTCAATCCACAAATGAGAGGGACTGAATAACAAACATTCAAATATTTTTATTAATACAATTCATATGTATTAACAGAACTTGACGACCTCTTTGGTTTAGTGGTTTAGCACCTTACTTCCGGTGCAAACATTTGTATTCATAGTTTGATTGTTGATATCAGTCTACTTACAGAATACGTGTTTACAATGCTATCAGGCATGAATACGTTAGCCCCAACATTTGTTCAAAGTTAACAAAATTTGGTTCCAATCTATACATATAAATAAAATTGGAGTGTCTGTTTGTAATATTGAAATAACCGTTTTTTACTACATGCATATGAATATATATACGGTACACATACCAAAATAACAATTTTTATCTGTCTATCTGTCGGTCTGTTTGTTCCGGCTAATCTCTGAAATAGCTGACCAGATTTTGACAGAACTTTTTTTGGCAGGTAGCTGATGTAATAAGGAGTAACTTAGGCTACTTTTATTTTAGAAAAGTAAAGTTAAATTCCACGCGGACGTAGTCGCGGGAACAGCTAGTTTTAAATATAACTTGTTAACAAGCATCAGGCACACTAACCAGACATATTTGTCCATCCACATGGCCTTGACCCCGCCGGCGTGGCTCGGCACGTCCAGCAGGTACATGGCGCGCTTGGCCGCCTGCAGGTACGACGCGTCCCCGCTGCGGTAGTACGCGCGGGACAGCACCGATATCGCGTGCCCTTGGCTCATGGCCGAGTGCCTGAAATTTAAATACTGTTCTTTAATACTTGTGTACGTTTAAGCGCTGGGACCTCTAGGTCCCAATATATTCGTGGGTGTGTACGTACCAGCCGGGCCGCAGGTCCTGGCCGGCGACGCGGCGCCGCGCGGGGACGGGCCAGGCGCCGTCACGTGGGCGGGGGGCGGGGGGGGGTGTGTACGTACCAGCCGGGCCGTAGGTCCTGGCCGGCGACGCGGCGTCGCGCGGGGACGGGCCAGGCACCGTCACGTGGGCGGGGGGCGGGGGGCGGGGGGTGTGTACGTACCAGCCGGGCCGCAGGTCCTTGCCGGCGACGCGGCGCCGCGCGGGGACGGGCCAGGCGCCGTCACGTGGGCGGGGGGCGGGGGGTGTGTACGTACCAGCCGGGCCGCAGGTCCTGGCCGGCGACGCGGCGCCGCGCGGGGACGGGCCAGGCGCCGTCACGTGGGCGGGGGGCGGGGGGCGGGGGTGTGTACGTACCAGCCGGGCCGCAGGTCCTGGCCGGCGACGCGGCGCCGCGCGGGGACGGGCCAGGCGCCGTCACGTGGGCGGGGGGCGGGGGGTGTGTACGTACCAGCCGGGCCGCAGGTCCTGGCCGGCGACGCGGCGCCGCGCGGGGACGGGCCAGGCGCCGTCACGTGGGCGGGGGGCGGGGGTGTGTACGTACCAGCCGGGCCGCAGGTCCTGGCCGGCGACGCGCGCCGCGCGGTCACGGCCAGGCGCCGTCACGTGGGCGGGGGGCGGGGGGCGGGGGTGTGTACGTACCAGCCGGGCCGCAGGTCCTGGCCGGCGACGCGGCGCCGCGCGGGGACGGGCCAGGCGCCGTCACGTGGGCGGGGGGCGGGGGGCGGGGGGTGTGTACGTACCAGCCGGGCCGCAGGTCCTGGCCGGCGACGCGGCGCCGCGCGGGGACGGGCCAGGCGCCGTCACGTGGGCGGGGGGCGGGGGTGTGTACGTACCAGCCGGGCCGCAGGTCCTGGCCGGCGACGCGGCGCCGCGCGGGGACGGGCCAGGCGCCGTCACGTGGGCGGGGGGGGGGGCGGGGGGTGTGTACGTACCAGCCGGGCCGCAGGTCCTGGCCGGCGACGCGGCGCCGCGCGGGGATGGGCCAGGCGCCGTCACGTGGGCGGGGGCGGGGTGTGTACGTACCAGCCGGGCCGCAGGTCCTGGCCGGCGACGCGGCGCCGCGCGGGGACGGGCCAGGCGCCGGTGCGCGGTCTCTGTGCGGCCGCCAGCCACCGCGCCGCCGCCACGAACTGCGCCATGTGCTCGCTGGACGCCACGGTCACGTTGTCCAGCGAGCCGCTGCCGCACACGATTATGCTCGATATCTGTGCAAACGATGACGTTCGTTTTAAATGAATGACCGAGGTGGTGTAGCGACTTTGCACATTGCCTTCCTCCCGATGATCGCTAGATCGATTCCTTACACGGTCCAAACATTTGTATTCATGAGTATGATGGTTTGTATCGGTCTGCATGTTATTTACAAAAAAATCCTATGTATTTATATTAGTGTTCTAGTTCCCATAACACAAGCTCTGCTTAGCTTTGAACTAGATGGCTAAAATGTCCTTCATGAATAAATTATTTTTTATTTGATTTATAAACATCCATGATTTGTGTCTCAACCATGACCATGTTGACATGACATAAAATTGAATCAAAATACTAAAAAGATAAAAAGAAAGACGAACTACTTAGCATTCCATGGATTCACTGTAGCTGGATCCTTCGTCTGGCAGAGTAACCCCAAGCAGTTCCCGGCACTTGTGACCTGGGTGTAGGCTTAAGGGGCATACGTACTACGTAGGACAACATTAATTTTATAATAAAACGCCACGTAAAAAGACAATAAAACTCGCCTTAAATTTGTTCCTAGGTGACTTCCTCTTGGGCCTGTCCTGCAGCGCCCAACCCTTCTGCATGTCGATGATGAGATCTCGCGTGATCCGTCGCCACGCAGCTTCCACACCGATGCCGTAGTATATATGATCCTCCTGAGCAATAAACATCATTACATTAGTAATTGTATAAATCACTTTGAAAACGTTGAAATGAAATTCTTGTTTATAAAAATCAAGTGTTGTATTGATGTCCATATTTGCCGATAAATAGGCAGGGGGAATCACTTTTACTTGATGAATGTAACCACATATACCAGTTTCAGACCTAGATTTAATCTGGGAGGTAAATTTTTACATTCTATCTCAAATGCTAAATATGTTATCAATTTGTTATTAAGTTAAATGATAAACGCGCATGTCTACGATATGCTCCCCCGTAACATTGCCAGATCTATTAATATTCATTTTCTTTTAACACTGGCCCACTCCCCCTTAATTAAAATACTAGCCAAATTTATTGCTGTCAATAATATAAAGATATAACCCCTCTGTATATATTCCCCACATTTTAAAATCCTTGCCTATGTCATGTCTGTTAACCTGTTATATATATTTTATTATACATGTATTTCACTTAAGTACTATTTTAATTGTATGCTAACATATATTGTGTTGTCCTTATTCGTAGCATCCTCAGCCAACTGAAACAGTCCTTTCTACGAACACAGTCAAGAAAACCGTAAACCACACCACTGTATCTCCCAAACCACGACGTTGGCAAAATCACCAACCTCATTTGGTGGAAGCCATTTAAATTAAAAGAAGAAGAAACGTGCATGTCAGTTGTACTTGCACGATTCTCATGTAATGTTAGATATAGAAACCTATATAAGTACACAATGCAAATAAACTGGCTTGTAAAATAACACAAAATCAGTTGAGTTTCTCACCATTTCTTTTCAGTTAAGTTTTATGCCTGAAAACCAGCGCTGTATAGGTACACCTCATTAAGGTTGTGCTTATATCAGCAACAGCTGAGGCAGCTCCTATTGCCAACTTCTATGTTATGATTTATTTCTCATTTTGTGTTTTATTGTAAATTGTATTATTTGTGTTATGTTGGCAATAAATCAATTATCTATCTTATCTATCTATCTGTTCCGTATTCCGAACCTCCTTAGTCTAAGCAGGTTGTATCACCGGCTTGCTTACTGGAGCAAAGGGCGCTCGGTAATACTGGCCACATATAAAAACATGTGGCCACTTAAATTTCGAAAAAAAGAATAACAAAACAATTGAAAATAAGAACTGGAATTAAAAGGACGCTCCGTATTTTTATCTATATAAAACAAGATAATTAATTATTTATTTAAGACAAAGTTTTTGATGAAAATATATACTCTATATAGTCGTATTTTTAATTAGACGAAGCTAGCTGACAGTAGCTAATGTCACATTGTAAAATAATGTTGCCATATTTAAAGTAATAGTGATGCGTTCAGTTCTCAGTTAGATGAATGAACAATGAGTGTGAATAGTTAATCATTTCAAACTACAAAAGAAAATTGTATAAAAGTGCTCTGATATAAGTTACTAGTAACTACAATCAGTTTTTTGACGGCTTATTACAAAGCGCGCGGCTACTAGTGCCAACACAAATCAACGTCGCGAGCGTCGGTCGCCATTTTGTTCGTAATTCGGCTTCTAACCTCTGGTCTGAGAGCACCAATGTTTTTTTTTGCGCACACGCAGTTTTATTAATTTTTTACTAATGGTTGTGTTTGTGGTAATTGTTGGGTATATTGTATATTTACTATATTGTTTCATACAAACAATATGGATCCTCAACCAAGCACGTCAAGCCAAAGCTTGTCTCCAAGAAAGACGTTACCGAAAAACTTATGATACAAAACGTCTACAAATACGTATTTGAGAAAGCTGCTTCACTATTACCTATTGAGGCTCCCAAAAAAACAAATGTATTTCGGCCGCCAGCCACCGCGCCGCCGCCACGAACTGCGCCATGTGCTCGCTGGAAAACAGCTGACATTTTGGGAATTGGTGTGACCTCAGTCTACAAGTCTAAAATACGACTAAAGTCATATTTTTAATTAGACGAAGTCAACTGACGTTTACTGTGTTGTCAGTATTTGATGAAATAAAAATAGTGTTGTGACAAAGTGAATCATTGAAAAAACTCCTGAATTAATGGAATTGCCTCGATTGTCTAGTGAATAGTTAGTGTGCCGAACTGCCGATATCGGGTACGGGGTTTGAATTTTAGCCGTGCTTTATACATACCAACGAGTTTACGACGATTATGTTCCTATTGTATCTACCTATACTGAATACCGAGTATTTTAAACGTAAAGAAAAAATTGCGTGGAAACTTTTAAGACTGTCCTAATTACAATTCATAATGTAATTGAAACTATAGATGTACAAAATATAACAATATATAACATAATATAGTTAGGTAATAAAAATAAAAAACTGCGCTTATTACAAAATTTGTTTTTATTCATCATCAGATAAAAAAATCATTGTCGCTTTCAGTGACATTAATTATAAATCTGTCTAAAAATTGATAATAATTTATCTTTGAAACAGTGTTTCGCTCCACGTTTCTCCGGAGACTTAAATTGTTCACTTTGTATTATTTTAATACATTGTAGACTGAGGTCACACCAATTCCCAAAATGTCAGCTGTTTTCGAAATACATTTGTTTTTTTGGGAGCCTCAATAGGTAATAGTGAAGCAGCTTTCTCAAATACGTATTTGTAGACGTTTTGTATCATAAGTTTTTCGGTAACGTCTTTCTTGGAGACAAGCTTTGGCTTGACGTGCTTGGTTGAGGATCCATATTGTTTGTATGAAACAATATAGTAAATATACAATATACCCAACAATTACCACAAACACAACATGAGGAAAAACTTAACAAAACAGCATGAGCGCAAAAAAAACATTGGTGCTCTCAGACCAGAGGTTAGAAGCCGAATTACGAACAAAATGGCGACCGACGCTCGCGACGTTGATTTGTGTTGGCACTAGTAGCCGCGCGCTTTGTAATAAGCCGTCAAAAAACTGATTGTAGTTACTAGTAACTTATATCAGAGCACTTTTATACAATTTTCTTTTGTAGTTTGAAATGATTAACTATTCACACTCATTGTTCATTCATCTAACTGAGAACTGAACGCATCACTATTACTTTAAATATGGCAACATTATTTTACAAAGTGACATTAGCTACTGTCAGCTAGCTTCGTCTAATTAAAAATACGACTCTAGAGTGCGTGGCCACTAAACAGGACTACACATCGGGACGTTCCTGAGCAAAGGTGAGTAAGTTTGGTGTAACATTGCTTACTTTGGGGTGTTCGGAGTGTGGAAGACGTTCTTCCAGGTCGAAATCGTATTTCTGCTACCTTTTCTTTCAATTATTTTCTTTTCAATAAATACAGTCCACTCTCTCTTTTATATATTAATATATAATGATTCGTAATCCAACACTATCTAAATCTGTTTAGTGAACTGGATGGTAGGGAAAAATATTAATACGACGATCTTAAGTGGCTAAAAGGTCCTACATGAATATATGAATTAAGTAATTCTTAATGTAAATATGTAAATTAAAAACAAAATACTCACTTGTGCTGAAATAAGTTGCAAACTAGTAATATAATGTAGATATACAGTCTCCTTTTTATCCTTATTCTGTAGCACCACTGTGAGTGAAGAGTTTGGTTTCAGCAAGAGATCCAGGCTCAACACAAAATCTTGAGTGATATTCACCTTCAACCACACCTGACTCGAGACATGGTCTGTTGTTGTGAACCTTAAAATATTAGTCCGTAGTGTAGTATCATATTCCCTTGCCATGTATGCATCTTTGCTGACGATCCAGTTCTCTATATGCGTTTCACCATCATCTAAAATCCTTCGTCTCGGTTCCGGCTCTGTTATATTCTTGCTGTAATGCGCCAAACCGAACTGTGCTATTTGTGTTGCGTAGAAGAACCCTCTAGGCTCCCATTGTATAGAGACGGGTACACCCTCGATACCGCTGATGCATTTCACGCGATCCCGCACTTCGACGTTATAGTTTTCGAAGGTGGTGAAAGTGCCTCGAGGATCGTATTTTTTCTTCGGATGATATATTTTGCTATAGCTGTGAGACCATTCGAACTTCTCGATGCCATCTGCTGCTACTACCTTACCGTATATCTGGAGAAGGATGCAATTTTATAATAACTAGTAGTCGAGACTACTGGTCGAAAATCGACCATGATTAAAAATACAAAAAGATCATTGAACCAGCAATGTTTAATTGTATAAATATATGTAAATGTGTATAAATATATGCATGTAAATTAATAGTAGTATTTTTTTATTGATTACTGATTTATTGTGTTTTACATGTATTATTTTAAAAAAATATTAGCATTTTGATGGCTGACGGCCGCGGTGGGTTAGCTGTTTACACACCGCCTCACTTACAATGGTCGCGGGTTCGATTCCTCGCACGGCACAAACAATTGTATTCAAGAGTATGATTATTTTGTAATGGTCTGGGTGTTTTCTATGTATAATATGTATGTATTTATGATAAAAAAAAATCATTGCAATACCTCAAAGTACTTGTGTATGAATGTAAAGGGTACATATATCTCATCCCGGTGTCGGCGGCACGCCACAGAGAACTCTCCGTTGATGGAGCACTCGATCTCGTCGCTGCCCACGTTGCGCTCTGACAGTGCGTTTGAGAGCACAGAGCCGACTGTAATATCATTTAAAAAAAAAGTTTAACGAGGGCTAGTGACCCCAATGCTAGAATCTAATAGCATTTAATCTAATAAATATCAACATAATCTAATAACAAGGTAGATGAACTGTATGAAGATTGATTTAATTATTAGATCCATCATCATACTGCCCTTCCTGAAATCCATCATAGTTTAATGCGGGCTAGTGACCCCAATGCCATTAGAATCTAATAAATATTAACATAATCTAATAACAAGGTAGAAGAACTGTATGAAGATTGATCTAATTATTAGATCCATCATCATACTGTCCTTCCTGAAATCCATCATAGTTAATTGCTCTCTCATCATCTTGGTAAATTCGCCATGATGGCCTCACTGATCATCATATCATCTTCAATCATACACCGGGATTTATTTTTTGTGGGGGCAAAGGAATTGTTAGTGATATGGACTGTTGATATCTTTGCTGGCAATGTACCATGTCAGATTGACCTCCATGCGGTTCTCTTTGGAAACTATCATGATAAATTCTTGGTGAATTTGTCAGATGGACTACCTGATTTGATTTCACATTATTTTATCCACTGGTGCCTCACCAATGTTAACCTTTAGAGCAAGCGGAACAGCACTCCATTATCATCCATTAAAAAGTATATATTATAAGTGCCGGCGCCTGTTCTGACGTGATATTGATAATAAGTAAATAATTGAATCCTGTAATCCTACTATTACATTTTGGACTTCTAAAAAAATATAAAATTTGAGTATCTTACTAGGTCTGCGCGAGAGTTCCCCGCAGTGGCTCCAGAAGAGCATCAGCACCAACACGAGGATACAGAGCACTACCAGCGCCACGCGCAGATTCAACCGCCCCACCAGCATCATTGTTACCTGCATAATCCAATAACACAAATATAATTTCGCTGAATTGAAAAATATACAATCACATAGACACAAAAAGATGTAGCACAACTGTACTGAATCCGATTAATAATTTAGTCTAATAGCTAGTAACTTTATTTTTTGCAATGGGTTAGCAAAGAAACCTTGAAGACATGTAGCAAGTGGTAAATGTAGCTTATATACATGGGCAGCACCACTGATATTATATTATTATGTGATGGTTGTCACATTATTACAGGGATTACATCATTATGTGACAGACATGACCTTATTATATTATGACCATTAAAGGATTATGTGACGGGTAACACATTATGTGACGGGTAACACATTATGTGACGGGTAACACATTATGTGACAGATAATATGTCTATGGATAATAATGTGATGGACATTACAGTATTATGTGACGGGTTATATTACATTATGTGACAGACAGTACATTATTACGTGAAAGTCAAGTTAGCTTGACTCAGAAATTCAGAAAGCAATGGTACAAAGACAACATAATGGTAACACACAACACACTGTCACTTGGTAATTTTTAAAATGTCCAAGAATATTTAAGTAACACAAACACCTTCACATAATTTGCATGCCTGTATGGTAAATATTGCTGTATCAATCAATTTCATGTAACATCATATTAATTATAATACTGTACCAATAATTCGCAAATAAATTATTTCATTTCAGAATAACAAACTACCAGAGGAAATAAAAGTAAAATATTTTCTACAAGAATTAGAAATTATTACATTGTATTCATTCATAAAAATGAACATAGCAATAGTATGTACATAGAAGTTTAAGAAATAATAAATTAATCATTAGAATATGCTTTTGGGAAGACCAGCTAAGTAATTTAATATTTTACACTATTTATTTTAATTTAGAACTATGTTTAACAACATAAAGAATCAATCATTTAAGTTTTAACTCACTTTAATGTGTAATTTTATTTGCTTAATTCTCAATAAAGACTAAATAATGAATGAATAAATCTAATATTGAATATATAAAACATTTATTTTCTGCATGACAAAACTTTAATTAGGACTGGAAACCATATTTTATGCAAACAAAATATTAATATTATTATTCAATCGTGTCGTTTTTTGTCAATAAACAAATAACAAAACGGATAGGTATATAAAGTGATGTTATTGAATAGTAAATATTTGGCTCTGCTAAACCTTAGAAATAGTATGTTCTCGGATTCTTGCGGTCAGTTCGCGTGGGCGACCTAAACAAGTTCCCGGGGACGCCACAACAACGAGCGTGGGATGTACTCATTTACCGTTATTTACTCAAATCCTACAAGTCACTGATTTAACAAAACAATGTAAATAAAATGTTAATCACTTACTTTGGAAATTATAGTGGCATTCCATTCGTTTCGTCGTCGTCCGAAGACTAAATGTTCCCTTTTCATACGAACGTGATAATATCACATCATTAATACAGTAACACGCAAACGTATTAATAATTAATACTTTCACAATACCAGCATACCAAATTAATTCTTTGAATAAAAATGTAACGCTGTAAGCAGTTCACTATCGGCTGTTCCCGTGCGCAGCTGTTTGGCATTGACATGTTTGTTATTTTTTAATCAGGCTTATTTTACCGCAGTGACAGTGACAATGATATTTCTAAAACTAGTTTACACAGACTCACCGTGTTAGAGGTGGCGGCGCTACTATATTATTACGTAAACATAATAAGTAGGAAAGTTTGTGGCATGACTTTGTCCGTCTATCGTTTATTCACAAAAGCAGCAGAAACAAATGTAAAATGATTCCACTGAAACAATTTACTTATATGAATTATTTTGTTCATACATATTGGGGTATATATGTATGAATGGTACATAGTATGCTAATAGTGATGCGGTCATCCAACTTTTATTATTTTCTTTTTTTTACAATATAGGGGGATATAGCTCACCAGATCGTAGATAATGAACGACTTTTTAAATGGTGTTATATATATTTTCATAAAGGCTGATGTTGAGAATAAAAACTACTAAATTAATTAAACCTACAATTATACCTCCAAAACGTCTTTAATTTTATTATTTGTATGCAAGCGTAACTCATTATGAACAGTTAACGAAACAAAATATTTTAAGTAAGTTTATTTACGTACCATAACAGATACGTTCTATAACTGGTAAATAATAAGTTGTTTATGGACATAATAGTATTATAAAAGCATTATGAAGATTATTTGTCGCCGCAAGTTGTTATAAAAGAACCTTAATAGATTGTAAGTTACAAACCGTACTATTGAGATTACCTATACTCCTACCTAAATATTTTATCTTTATAGAATATATCTCTCCAACTATAAATCAAACATCTCTCCCAATTGCCAAGTACCTAACTATTTCTGTGTCCACTTTATACGAGCGCAGAGTTTACTTTACTTTTACAGTTCGTTATCCACTTTGCCTACGACATTATATAAATAAGACTCCATCTAAATTGTGTAATCGGTGTATGTAGGTATTCATAGTTATGGCATCGTCGCAGGTCGCAGCCGAGAGATTGGTAAGTGTGTTGGAGGCAACGCGCGGCATCGTAACTCGGTCAGTGTGCGCGGGAAGTGGGTCAGGGCGTATTCGGATGCACCAGTGCGGCGCGCGGTCGGCGGCGCTCGGCCGCAGTCGGCAACGACCGGCGACGCAAGCGCGCAGCACCCATCGATCGCCGCCCACGCGGCGCAGCGCCGCTCAAGTGCTCCGCGAGTCGCGACGCGAGTCCCGGGCTTGGCCCCTCGACGATGGCGGCGTGAGCGCGCGCCGCCCGCGGCCTCCGGCGGACATGCCGCGATGGCCAGAGAGGTAACCGCGACGCGACCGGCGCCCTACCGCCGCTTCCGCCCTCTTATGTAACCGGTGATCCCTGACACGCCCGGAGATATGGTTATTATCATTAGCGCCCGCCCGTCCGCCCTCAGCGACCCCGTGCTGGGCCCGTGCGGCCCCGCGCTGGGCCCGCGCCGGCTCGACGCGCGGTCGCGCGACGCCCGCTTTGCTCGTTCCAACCTGCGGATCCTATCGCTATTGATTCGGGTGCTTGTAGCCACGCCAGATAGTACTGTGACCGATAATCAACTGTCCACATATTATTATTTACGCTAGTAATTAGATACATCATGCAACGTGGTCCCAAAGGTCTCTGTGGAAGGCCCAGTGTTTGAATATGTGTGTATAGTTATGTAGGGTGGAATGGGACCTGCCCGTGTTTCAGTACGGTCGTGGAGGCAGAAGAGCGTGCGGCAGTGCCGCAGCCGGCGTCTCGCTCGCCCTTAGAGAACCACCTATAGGTGCCTCTCGCTCACTCTGCCGTAGACCGGCACTGCACATGCACCCTGCAATACAAAATCTGTGCCACTTAGTGCAGTTATATATGATTTATTTTTATACCAAAAGTAATCGATTAGAAGTATATTACACGGGCGTGAAATAAGTTTTAACTGTTTGTTTTGGTCGTATTGTCAAAGAATGAAACGTGTTGCTGTGTACAGCAGTAACGTTTGTGTATATAATGGTACATGGACATTATGTATTTGTGATTATCTAATATATAATTAAGTGGATATGGACGGCAGTTGGAGCCGGCACCGCGGCCGTAGCACATGCGTAGCACGCTGTAGCACCGCGTAGCGATCTTAGTTGGCACTAATATTAGTGGTATTAAAGTACCTAAAAATAGATATATATATATTATATACATACAGATAGCATACTTAATATTATGTATTTTATTATGTAAGAAGTTTTATTCTAACTATATTGTAACTAAATTATACTAAATCGTCTCGTGATTCTATAAAAATACTATATATTCACTATTCATATAATCTTGTTTACAATTCAGCGGTAAGTATTTTTTTTTATTCAGCAGTTACATACTGCACAGAATTCTGGAGTATTTCTTTTTTTTCATTTCCTAGATATATTATGAGGCGCTTACAGGAAATAGTATCAAATACATTATCGCATAAGATGGAAAATTTCGTCTAAGAACTAAAACCTGTAGGTACTAAGTTAACAAAGTTCCCGGGATGAAAAATATGCTAAATCCTTCTCTTAAGAGAAGGAAAAAGATTGTTCATGGGTGGAAATCCATGAACATATATTTTCTTCTCTTAAGAGGTGAGAGGTGAGCTCGGTTAATCTTCCATTAATACAATTTGTTGACGACTTCTGTATTGGTAACCATGTAAATAAGATCCCATTCATTTAATATCTCAGGACAATTCACACAACAAAGTCTAGCCATACAGAGCTTGTACTACGTATTCATGGGTGGAAATCCATGAACATGTATTTTCTTCTCTTAAGAAGGGAGGGGTAAGCTGTACCAACGGTTAATCTTCCATTAATACAATTTGTTGACGATTTCTGTAGTGGTAACAATGTAAATAAGATACCTCTGATATCCTATTTACCTGAGATATGATTTTAATAATAATATCTCAGGACAATTCACACAGAGATATCATAACTGGCTTTAAAAAAAAAAGTAATTCAATTGAGTTTCCTGGCAGTTCTCAAATGGATCTATATACTGAACTGGACGGTAGGGTTAAATTATAAAATAAAAAAATTTGACGTAAGAAGCTAAAATGTCCTACATGAATAAATGATTTTTGAATTTGAATTAGTCCCAAGCCAAACAGAGCTAGTTTACTAATAACTAGACAACTACTTAAATGCATTTTTTTGTAATTACATTATGTACATAGAAAATACCCAGACCGATACAAAAAATCATACTCATGAATACAAATATTTGTACTGTGCTAGGAATCAAACCTGCCACCGTACTAAACCGCTAGACCACCAACGCCTTCATGTTACACTTTAACAATAATCTTAGTCACCGATACTATCCTTTTATATATGTACTTATTACTTTTTTATAATCGACATCAAATAAATGTTATAACGTCTGAACGTAAGTTTCATTCCTAAC